ATAAACACATTTCATTACACCAAATAATGTTATTTTTAGCAACATCATATGACCCCTTTAAAAACCAATATTGCTGAAATGTCTGCATTTTTGCCTCATGTCCTGTAAAAATGTTGTTTTGAGGATTTTTACACTTTAGGGATGCATCAGCATATGAAATTAAGTAGGGATGCACCGATATGAACGATTTTGGCCGATACCGATAACTGATAATTCTTTATTTTTGAAAGCCAGGGGGTCTGAATACTTTCCGTACCCACTGTACATCAAATAAACACAATAATACAACGTACAATTGCACAAAAGGCTGCAAACGAACAGCGCGCATCTGAAGTGTCTCTGAAGGAAATAATGCATTATTTATCGGCTTTAAGATATCGGCCAAATTTTCTTATCGGGCCGATACCGATAACAGAAAAAATGAGCATTTATCGGCCGATACCGATATGGTGGCCGATATATCGTGCATCCCTAAAATTTAGCTTTTTCATTCTTACATACTTAAAATACTTTATAGGTCTTATTGTTCATGCAGAATTTATATAGTCATACAGTCACAAAAAGTAATTCATCTTCTCTAGATTTATTTCAAACAACAGCAAAACCCAAAACAAAATATAACCAAAAACAGTAAACAAACCAGAAACATTAGTGGCACCACAAAGTATTGTACATACAGTAACATAATTTTAGGTTCAGTAACAGACATCTTGCCTCATATTTTTTCGTGTTTCTTAAAACTTTGCAGATATGCTACCAAAACAAATGGATAAAACCTTAGTGCCTCAAAAAGCCATCAAAATCACATATAACCTCACAGAGAATGGAGAAATATAGTGTTCTTCCCTTCATTTCAAACAAAACGGCTTACTGATAACCATCTCAGGCAGGAAGTGCTTTGCTTGGTCCGTAAATTGTCTGTAATTAAGTATAAATATGAGTGTTTATTTCAAGTTAGACTAAAAGGTTAGAAAAACATTTAACAGCATATTCAGCAGAATATAAAAAGCTGAAATTGTAATATATGTACATAAGACTCTCCATTCAACAAAAACACACAGGTGACACTTTTAATGCTTAAAAAATAATTTACAGAACAACAACTCTGTTACGCATGAGTATAACATTCATACTGAAAAAAAAGTTTTTGCAAATATATATAAAAAATACTTTGCACACTAGAGCATAAAGTTGTCTGCTCCAAGCTTTTATGTGTTGTTAAAACATAATGCCTTTAGCCTAGTTGTTCTAGTCATTAAAAATCAGTTTTGTACGGAGTGCATATCAATAAGTGCAAATTATTTGCCTTTTACACATTGTGCATCTTTCTAAACATTTGTCAGATTTTGGTGCTTGTTTTGCATTTTAACAGCAGCAACAGTATTTTCGTTTTGCAGAACACACCTCTTGTCACTACTATTTTGACCCCGAGTTTAAGATTAGTGCTATTGCTTTGTCTTAGTTGCATGTAGCAGTTTGTTCAGCAAATATCAGAGTAGTGCATTGCATCATTTCACCAATCACCTGAAACAGAAGCTCAGGATCAAGTTTTTGAGCGCAGGTAGTGGGACGCAGGAAATGCAGCTCCACAGACTAGTGAACGGGGCAGTGCTTTTGTACGTCACTGCTCAGGTGCAGTTTCTCAGGAGTCTTTTGGATTTTCAACAGGCACTGAAGGCTTTACTATGGTCCTACTAATTGCACAGTGAGTCTCCCTGCAGTGAGAGGTGGTGCTGAAGAAAAAGGCTTCATGCATCTGAGATGCAGCTCTGGATCTTATCAATCCATAGCTGGGCACTCTGAGCATCTGCTGCACAGAAGTTGTACACTCGTTTAGTGGTCTTCAGCTGCAAGGACAAAGAAAAAGAGAGAAGAGATTTTAATGTACTTCTATTAAGCAATGATGCATTTATTTCATCAAAAGTGACAGCAAAAACTAATAATGTTACAATTTCACAAAAATGCTGTTCTTTTTAAATTTCTATTCATGCTGATGGATGCTGATTGGTCATAGTAACAGCACGTTCACCATGTCACTGTGGCTGCACCCAACTATTAACCTTATTTTACATGGCAAGTACCAGCTCTTCAAGCTTAAGGCATTTGGCAGACGCTTAAAAGCAACTTACAGGTTATACATTTTTTACCAGTATGTGTGTTCCCTGGGAATCGAACCCACAACCTTTTGCACTGCTAACGCAATGCTCTACCACTGAGCCACAGGAACACAATTTCTATTACAGGTACAACAGCCATGTGCTTCTATTGTTAGTATAGTCACGGCTGTGGGAGTACAGCAAATTCCATTTCAAGGGAAGTCTGTTCACTCTGTGGCCATGTTTGCAATGCCTACAGGCAGCTATTTCAGGCATCCAAGGCCATATCCTATCTACTTGAATGGGAAAATCCTTCAATCTCAAAAATAGCTTGCCATGCTCACATTTAAACAACACATTTCAAACCAGCAACAAAATCTGACATGAACTGTCCCATGTTGTCTCTTGTGCTCACATTAACAAAAGCTTATAATTCAGGCTGGACCAGTCAATGCACACGTGCAGTCCTAAACAAGAGTCTGGAAACAGCATTTCCATCACAACCGGAGCAGCAGCAGTGACACAACGACTTCACGGACTGGCTCTTTTCTTTAGAAGGTGGGAGTTCTCAGTCTCAGCCTCAGACGTCACGCCCACGAACCGCTGGCTGAAGTCGTGGCCTAATGGTTAGAGAGTCGGACTCGTAACCCAATGGTTGCGAGTTCGGGTCTCAGGTCCGGCAGGGATTGTAGGTGGGGGGGAGAGAATGTACAGCGCTCTCTTCCACCTTCAATACCATGACTGAGGTGCCCTTGAGCAAGGCACCGAACCCCCAACTGCTCCCCGGGTGCCACAGCATAAATGGCTGCCCACTGCTCCGGGTGTGTGTTCACGGTGTGTGTGTGTGTGTTCACTGCTGTGTGTGTGCATTTAGGATGGGTTAAATGCAGAGCACTAGTTCCTAGTATGGGTAACCATACTTGGCCACATGTCACATCACTTTAGAATGTCAGATACACAAGGCACACAAAATGGGAAAGTATTTAGGAGTTTTGAAGTCGGGGAATGCATTCTTTCATGTGTCACATCCTTTAATGGTTCGCCTGGAAACAAAGCTGTTCTGATGCCAAACTCCCTCATGGAGGAAGAAAACCATTTTGTTTACAACAGTGACAATGATCGCATATCAGGATCAACTAAATGCGGAATTTTCAGAAGTACGTGAAGGTCACAGCATAGACTCTGCACAACGCTCTTGAATGAATGATTTATTGGTTGCACGGTGGTGTATTATTGTAGGGACATCGACTTAACATTTTTACGCCCCAAATATGATGCTGAACAAAGTGAACTATGATTGGTTGCATTATATGTCTGTCAGATGGCCTCTTGAGTGGTTCTTGGCCAGCCAAAGCTGCGATGAAGTCAAAACCTTCTGCTGTCAATCTGAAGGTCTGGCAACGCAAGACTAGGTATATCTAAATGTCTTGGGTAAAGCGCAGCCTCAAGCACTGCATTGCTTCATTAACTGGTGGAATACTTACATCAAAGAAAGCCTTTTCACTGATGTGTTTGGGGGCTCCTATAGTTGGTGTGGCAATCAGGACAGATTCCACTTCAGCCAGGTCAATATAGCCACGACAGCTTGTATCCTCATCCGTCTCATAATACCTCAGCTATAGGGTCAAAATGCATGACAAATAAATGAATAAATGAAGGTAAAGACCAAAATACAAAAATGTAATAAACGACTTACCTGATGTTTTGTTACGTCAAGAACAAACCACCTAGCTTTCCAAGCTTTAAGTAATGCCCCTCGCTTGTACAGGATTCCCTCAAATGATCTGTATAAAAGAAATGATGGCTTGTTGGCTTTCTCTATAAAGCTCGATTAAGTGGTATCAAAAGTGTTGTCTGTCATTGTTACCTATTGTCTTCATTCTTTGGGGTAAACTGATTGTAGAGCGTGGCTGCCCTGCGATTAACCCCGTTGACTGCAGTGGGGCTGCTGTCTTCTCCGAGGTCGCTGTCAGGTAGGTGCAACATGGAGTGTCGCTGATAGGCCTGCAGGTTGGAGGTGGGGACCAAACCAGAGATGGACACTGACTGTTTCCGCAGCTATGAGATTAAAAGAGCAAGAGATGAGGTCAGTATATCCGGAGAAGACACTTTGCTATTTGCTCACATAAAATCCACAAACAAGGATGCTTCTTTGGTGCTTTCTAAGGCCTTTTTACCACTGCATCCCCAAGCCATACATAAGCAGCTTTGTTTCTACAGCTTAAAGCTGCAGCTCTTGCTGGTGATGTGATATTGGGGTTTCTATTAAGAACCCCCATCAATAAGCGACTTCTGAGAGTTGGTCCCTTAGAATCATTACAGATTTGTTCTGAAAATTTAATTTTAGGTCGATATTCAAATATTAATTTACACAGAAGAATCCAAACCCCAAATTGTCTGGATTTAAGGGTCAGTATCAATCCTAAAATGTTAATATGTGCTTGAAATAGATACATGTTGCATACATGTGTGATGTTAAACATGCCTAAAAATGTGTACACAGTGTGCACATTTATTATACAATTTGGAAAACAAAACAGGTAAGTAAGAAATGCCAGTTGAGGCTACATTTGTGAAGCAAAGTGGAACTAAAATAGCTGGACAGAGAAGCAGCACTCACATTGCCCTCCTGTTTGAGGTCTTCTTGGATGCTGTCTCGCACCTTCTCCAGCGTGGTGTGCCAGGGCTCAGACTGCTGTCCCAGTTCTCCCTCCAGCCTCTCAATGTCCTGCAACAACACAAATCCATTTTAAAGGCTTCCCTTTACTGGTGCCTTTGATCAACCAGGAAATATTTGGGTTCTGCTTTGATATTTTTGTCCTACCAAGCAAGCAGTGCTATGTTTTTGATGGTTGCTTGCGTTATAGTAGCTAGTATAATTCATGCTATTCACAGATAACATCAAAAATGGATGAGTAGATACAGATTGTGCTTTGAGAAGTTCAGAAACACTGAATGGACAAATCCACAAGTAAAATCATGAAAAAGCATGGTGTGAAAAATACAAGGTATGTTTAGAATTTTTTCAGCTGCGTGGTGCAAGCAGAGAAAACTACTACTCACTCTTCTGATAGACGCATCCCTTCGCTCCTTTGATCGGCTGCAATTTTACTGCATCATGTAACATTTTCACTTTGATTGCGGGAGGATAAGGACTTGGTGAGAAACTATTAAAGGACAAAGACATATGGACTCACAGCCAAGAGTTTGGTGATGGCATCAGGTTGGGCACGGCTGACACTGCTGTAACATGGCCAGACGATCCTCCTCTTGGTGGTGGCAATGGTGTCTGACTCTTCTGTGCTCTGTGAGCGCATCGCGAGCATACACCAGTCATAAGAGGGGCCTGTGGACAGCGCCTCTCCAGTGTAGAACTCCCATGTCGCCAGATTGGGGATCGAAATCAGCGGTTTCAACACCACCTAAAGGGAAAACAAAGGAATCATTATTTGTTGGATTTTTCAGTTCTGACTTTACATAAAGGCGCTGTAAGCAATATTAGTCACTGTAGAATTTCTGCCAGAATTAGCCACTGAATTAGTCGCCCTCCCTCTTTCCAAAATCTTACCCTATGAAGGTATTGTCCTACCATTATGCATGTTTACATGCACTCATTTTTGTCAATCGGAACAAATCCATCCGATTTCAAATTATGAAAGTTCAGTTTATATGAGTGTTACAATCTGATTCACATAGTCATTTACATGTTCATTACAAGCATTCTGAAGGAAATTTTAGCGTATACAGAACCAGAGAAAGCCACTGTGATAATGTCGTCGGCGCTAAAAAAAAAAGCTGACATATCATCAGAAGACCAAAATATTCAGTCTCCTTTACTGAACAGTCCGGAAAATGTAAATATACATACGCACGTTTGTGAGACTGAAAACATATGCAAAACATAAAACATATAGATTTAAGTATTTACATGCTTCATTTTTTTCTGTTGATTGGATTATTTCAGCTCTAGCACACTTACAGAACTTTTAAGTTGGAAGAAGCATGATGCTTGTTCTTTCCTAACCTTAAAATCTCACAGTCTCAAGATTAGAACGTGTGACCCTCTCCAGTGTTTGGTTGTAAGAAAGGAATGGGGAAGAAAGAAGAAACAGCCCACAGGGCCCTTTGCTCTCACTAAACTTCATAAAACATGTTTTTGTTGGGCTATGGGTGACTCGCTGAACTGATTCACTCATTTTGAAACTGTCAGGGGATGACTGCCAGTGAGAAGAAACCTATGTTAAAAACAACTTTCACTCAAGCCTGGATTTGAGGATAGGGCACTTTCCCATTCAAGTTTTGTTTTTTATAGACTGTCACCACCTGATTCACTTGTAACAAGACTGCTTTATAAGGTCAGAGGCTGTTTTGCAATTGTGGGGAACTATCCTTCACTGTGAATGCGATCTGGCAAAAGACGTCAGCATGTTTGGGACTGGTAGTCAACATAAACTTTAAGCAGAGTGCTCTAGGGTAAAGGCCATTAGAGCTGTCTGGTACCTCTGCACACACCCAGATAGACTCTTTACCTCCGTCTCTGAGGGACTGTACAGGTAGTTGAAGAAGAGAGGGCTCTTGTGGTGCATTCGGTTGATACACTCCCAGATACAGATTCCTCTCTTGGACTGCTTTTCTCCTTTGTCCTCAAACAATGTGCCTTTAGTGAGGAGACACAAAGAAGAACTTGTGAAATTACACATTACTCAGAGCAATGTGATAAGGTGTGAAACAAAATATCAGAAGCCAAGTCTGATAAGACTAGCAGCACTTAAAAGAAGTGCTTCCAAAGGTCATCAGGGCTGCTACAGGTAGGTAAAACTTTTCTGAGCAAGACTGCACGTGTCTGTTGTAATACTATACAGGCATTCAAAGCCTTGTTTATTTGAAGAACACAGCTGAAAAACATTTGCACAATAATGTAATTATGGCAATACAAAAAGACAAATACTGTTTTGTGGTGGAATGTGTGTTTCTTCTTAAAGAATGACATGAGGAGTTGTGCATACACACCATGCTCCAGGCGCTCATAGTCCGAATCCAGAAGGAAGTTTTTGAAGCGATTGGAGATGTAGTGGTATGCCAGAAACTTCAGATAGTATTGATTAAACTCAAACTCAAGGGGGTACTGGTAATGAACCTGGAATAAGAAAGTCAATGTGTCACACTAGAGAAGCTTTTTGGCCTTATTTCACTGCTACAGCGATTCAACAAATATAATAATGATTAGTAAACGCCCAGGAAATTATTAGTTGAAGGGAATTTAAAAATACAAAAATAACAGCAGCAGGAGGGACATAATGTGGTAATGTACAGCCAACAGGATGTAGACAGAAGAGCTTGCAAAGTTCTCACACTCGAGGCCACCTGGACTTCCTGGCAAAAACAACAGCTGCCTCTAAGATGAGACACTTCTATTTTCAGATGCTTTCACTATATTTCTGTGGTCTGACATTGCCGGACCTCCGCTGGGTCATTCAAATGCTCTACGCCTTGATTTCATCACATATGCCTAAAAACAATAAATGTCTGTAAACGCATGGGAGTGGTGCGCGTTGTCTCTGGAGGGAGAAAAACTTTTCCTGCCCTTTACTTAATGTAGCACAGACTGAACAGAAACCCCAAAATTGGAGTTTTCCACCGGTTGTGCTAAACTTGCCGATGTTGGGAGGTGATGGCGAAACACTCCAGCCAGGACAATGCTGGCCGCAGGTTAAACACCATCTGTGTACGATCATTTCAAAGGGGGTTGGGGGTAGGTAGATGTGCCGAAGGAGCAGCTCTGTCTAAATTACTTGCCCACCATGGGGATTGCAAAAGAAAAGCTAGAGCATGCATTCTGACAGCTGAGTCTTTCTCGTCCTCCTCCTTCTGGCTGGACGCTGCAGGAATGCTGTGAGCTCATGGACGAAGCACGGTGGGAACAAGAGAAGGGTGGTGTGAGAGACAGAGATCGGGAGTTATGAAGTGATTCTGGGCAGTGTGTGAAAAAGAGAGATGGAGCAATTGGTTATTTGTTATTTAGCACACACTTATCCAAAATGAACATGGACAGTCCCATTTGGTGCAGCCTGGGGTTAAGGTGTCTTGCTCAAATGCAAAATGGTCATGGGGTTCATGAGTCATTCCATCTGTGGTTTGAACCTACAGCCTTTGGGTTTCCAGCCCAGATCTTTAACCACTACGATTCCACCACCGCAGATAATGGAAAACATCAGAAGATTGCTGGTTCAAGAAGCAAGATCATTATCTCCTTCAGCAAGGCAAGTAACCCCAGGTTACTTTGGATAAAGGTGTCTGTTACACGACTGCTTATATAGTCAACTTGCCTGATGGACACAGTCAAGAAACTGGAGGAAGATGGGAGTGAAGCCACTGCCCTGGCTGCTGGGGGTCAGGTTGCCACGTTGGCTGAATTTGTGGCCAAAAGACAGCCACTCTTTCTCCAAAAGCACCTGAAAGCCCTCTAAGGTCCTGTAGAATGGATCACTGAGCACCTGCACAAGGGAAACCACCTACAGAAACAACAGAGAGGAAGAGAGGAATGTAATGAGTTACAAACACGGGCCAATACTTGAGAAGTACCCAGTATAAGTAAATGCTGGCCCTATTGGATTTAACCCTTGCTGACCCAATACGTGTATCAGTGACTGTCACAACTCACACATCCCAACAGCTTTTACCTGACAAAAACATTTACCATCAGAACTCTGCCTGGGAGCTTTCTCCATGTGGCAACCTCTTAACTGCAATATTCTGTACATTAAGCATTAAGTTTGTCACAATTACTTAAGGTCTGCATGAAAATAGTAATTGACCCTATTTACTTACTACTAGTGCTGTCAAACGATTAATCGTGATTAATCGCATCCAAAATAAAAGTTTTTGTTTACATAATATATGTGTTTGTGCTATGTATATTTATTATGTATTTATAAATACAAACACATGCATGTATATATTTAAGAAAAATGTGTTATGTTTATATATTAAATATATTTAAATATAATATAAAATATAAGAATATATAGAAATGTATATGCATGTAAACATTTCTAAAATATATGCTGTATGTGAGTGTATCTATATATAAGTCAAGTCAAGTCAAGTCACCTTTATTTATATAGCGCTTTTAACAATACAGATTGTGTCAAAGCAACTGAACAGCATTAATTAGGAAAATAGTGTCAATAATGCAAAATGACAATAGTAAACACAAATTTTTCAGTTAAAGACAGTTCATCATTGAATTCAGTGATGTCAACATCCAGCTCAGTTTAAATAGTATCTTTGCAATCAAGTCAACGGTATCGCTGGAAATGAAGTGTCCCCAACTAAGCAAGCCAGAGGCGACAGCGGCAAGGAACCAAAACTCCATCGGTGACAGAATGGAGAAAAAACCTTGGGAGAAACCAGACTCAGTCGGGGGGCCAGTTATATGTATATGGCCATATACATAATAAATATACACAGTACACGCGCATATATTATGTTAACAAAAACTTTTATTTTGGATGCGATTAATCGCGATTAATTGTTTGACAGCACTACTTACTACATGAATAATCTTGTGGTTAACAATTAATCCACAGGAAAAAAAGTTTTTTTTTCACACTCATTAGCCAAAATCTGAAAATTTGCTTTCACTCTGTAATGGCATTACTTCTCTGAAGACGACTGTTTGACAGTTTGGGCAGAACATACTTAAAGGGAGAATTCACTCAAAAATGAAAATTCTGCCATGAATAACTCACCCTCATGTCGATCCAAACCTGTAAAACCTTTGTTCATCTTTGGAACACAAATTAAGATATTTTTGATGAAATCCGAGCGCTTTCTGACCCTGCATAGACAGTAACACAACTACCACGTTGAAGGCCCAGAAAGGTAGCAAGGACATCAATAAAATAGTCCATGTTCAACCGTAATTTTATGAAGCTACAAGAATACTTTTTGTGTGCAAAGAAAACAAAAATAACGACTTATTCGACAATTTCTTCTCTTCCATGTCAGTCTTCGACGTGCGTTCACGAGAGTAACACGACGCATGCGTGTGGTGCTGCTGATGCAGGAGCCGGTGTTCTGACGCAGAACCCAGAAGCGCTGTGCCTTGTTTATGTAAACATGTCTGAAGATTTCGACTGAGAGGATGACTTGCAATTTTTTGCCCAGCCCTACTTATTTGAACCAGAATATAGAGACGATGAACTAAGAGAGATGGCCATTCTATGCAAGAACAGCGGCTCCTGCTTCAGCAGCACCACAAGCATGCGTCATGGGTATTCTCATGAACGCGCATCGAAGACCAACACGGAAGAGAAGAAATAGTTGAATTAAGTTGTTATTTATTTTTATTTTTTTGCAGACAAAATGTTTTCTCATAGCTTCATTAAATTACGGTTGAACCACTGATGTCACATGGACTATTTTTACATGTCCTTACTACCTTTCTGGTCCTTGATCGTGGTACTACCCTTGCTGTCTGCAGGGTCAGAAAGCTCTCAGATTTCATAAAAAATATCTTAATTTGTGTTCTGAAGATGAACGAAGGTCTTACGGGTTTGGAACGACATGAGGGTGAGTAATTAATGACAGAATTTTCATTTTTTGGTAAACTATCCCTTTAACAACTCCCCACCAAACATCAGTCTTCTGCAAGCTACATATGTGACCCTGGACCACAAAACCTTAAGTCTTCAGTTGACTATGCCAAATATTGTCATATCCTAACAAACCATACATTTCAGATGGTCTTCGAAAAATTGACACTTAAGACTGGTTTTGTGGTCCAGGGTCACATATGGTGAGGAGGTTCTTTAAAATCAAGCCCCGTCTATTATTCAGTTTTCCGTTTTACTCTGAAAAACATCAAAATGCTGAAGTAAAAACCTGTTGCAGTTTCCAGTAATAAACTTCCAGTTTATGTGGAACAAAATTATTTATAATCAATAATGCATTGTGAATACCACTTCAAAAATATGTCTGCTAGAGAATAAAATGTAAATGTTACATGTAAAGCTTTGCTATAACCAAAGGCAGAATTTCTACAGAGCCTGTTTCAATGAGTTATAGAAATATAATTATTGTAAGCATTATTGGAGCAATTTCACAAAGCAGTAAGCAATATCACAACACCTTCCAAGACTGAAAGCATGGTCATGTGACAACAATGTGATTCTGTTCTCTCCTACAAAGCCAGACATATGGAGCCTATTTAGATGAGTACATCAGATCAGGCCTACAGAGAGAATGGCAAAATGGTCAAGAAGCAGGAATAGACTTGTTCAGACACGTGCATGATTCTGACCACAGCTACATTTAACAACCCCAGCTGACACTCAGAGAACACAATTCTGTTTCTAATGACAGTTAACTGATCAAGTCAGCATGGAAAATCTGAGCTGTGACCGCAAAAATGTCTCTGCTGTAACAGCATAACAAAATTAAAGTTTCAATTCAAAATAGACATTTAAAAAAAAACTTTAAGGTGTAAAGATGACTGTTAGGCATTTGTAGGTTGACATTCCCATTACTGTTTTTATTGACTGACACGTGAACTTTTGGTCCAACCAATGGCCGAAGTTTGGGGTGAAACTATCTGCTATAAGCTGTTTTTAAGGAAACTGGATATCATTATTTTTTGAACAATGAAATATGATTGAAGATGCATTGGGAATCCTGTTTCAAAATTGTGTTGGCAACTCCATGTATTGCCTTAACAAGGTGAATAATATTTAAATCCGATAATAGGCAAAGACAAGGCTCTAAAACAGTACACCAATGCTTTCATCGACTCTCCAGAATTCAGATCGACTCAGATGAACAGGGGTGAGAGGTTTCAGGTAATGTTTAAAGTGTATTATTTAAACATATCCATTGAATAGTTTTAATGGTGAAAAATCAAAATATAACATCAACATTGTCATTTCTGGATCCTGATACTGTTATAAAACATTTTATATAAAACAGGGGTGCACAACTACCTTCCTTCAGAGTTCAGTTCCAACCCTGATCAAACACACCTGTCTGTAATTATCAAGTGCTCCTTCAGATCCTAATTAGCTGGTTAAGCTGTGTTTGAGCAGGGTTGGAGCTGAACTCTGCAGGAAGGTAGATCTCCAGGAACAGGGTTGGGCACCCCTGCTCTAAAACAAGCATCTAAAAAGCAGATGGAATAGGACTGTTAAATTGTCACATGCTATAGCACACGTGTGTGAGACGATGCTCACCTGAGTGGTAATGTCCCAGCCATCCTCAAGACTAACTAGTACAGATGATCCACTGTCCAGCAATTCCACCACAACCAGAGCCAGCTGCAGCAGTTTGTGTAGCTGTTGAACACACAGATACAAAGTACAAAACAACACATTCGAAGTTTAGCAATTCCTGTGCATTTATTGTAACACTGCTGTGCACACTGCTGACTAAGAGCTCTCAGAGTGTCTTGGCAGAGATCCTTACAGATAATATTGTTTTAGTGTCTGAGACACAGTGGACCATAAGGCCAAAGGGTTTTGTGAGTGCATGGGTTTTAGAGTGGTAAGCAACTTTATTTTGCTTGAATTGTGTCATGCAATTTTCCCATCTTTGTGTTGTATGGTTTCCCATGGGTGACTAGTTTTAAGGAAAGACTTTTCAAAAGGGTCAGAGTCACACAGGCCAACCTGTTTCTGGTTTTCTTAAGATATAGGCCACTGTGAGTCACAATAAGGGGAAGGTGCAGGGGTAGTTTTAATACTAAGGGAATGTGTGTTCAGAGGTCATGCTAACCTGTAGCATCCATTCGCTCTCCTCCAGAACCTTAAGGAACGAGTCCTCTGTGTCTGAGGACATGGAACTGGGTGCACACGCTCTTAGAAGCTTCTTGAAGGACCCCTTCACCTGTTTTGTGTCTGCAAACTCTACCGGCACCAGTTCACAGTTCAGTGCTGAGTCCAGTCTTAAGCCCTGTCATGGAAAAGCATTTGGTACAAACTTTTAATTTTGTTTTGTTTCATTTCTGGAAATAACAGAGCATAGAAACAAACATTTGGATTATGCCTCTTGGTAGAACGTTGTGTAGAAGTTTTGCTTGTTTCCAGACCAGAGTCACACATTTGTATTTCAATAAGGTTTTATCATTGTATCCAAGACTATAATTTTGAGCAGACTAATTATTTTACTCATTGTGGATGAAATTAAATTTCCACTTCACAGGCAACAACAAAAATTCAAAACAGACAGTTAATGTACTGAGTAGGACCAGCCAAATAACTTAGAGTTTACTTAACTGTCAACCACAGGGCTGATTTATTCCAACTATTAATTTTCATTTTTTTTACATTGAATATTAAAGAAACACATTATCTAAAAGGTAAAATGTAACACAAAGTTCCTTCAGGCATCCAAATGTAATATAATTTCAGCAAAAACAGACAAATTGTGTCAATAAATCAGAGCTTTTATAAATGGCTATTATGAGGTCCTTATCTAGTCATGAATTTATTATGCGCTGGGGAGAACGCTGTCCAAGTATTTCAGGGTGATATGACCTGGTACACTTCCAACACAAAAATGAAAAAAGGCTATTTAGAAATGAACACTTCTTCCCCATAAAAGGTTCATCACACAAGGTCAGCATCAAATCCTTAGCTTCTTCTCTCGAAGAACTCATAGTAAGTGTAACATCTTTACCCTGAGATGAGACTTTTCGCCAAAGATGTAGAGAGCAGCTTGATGCTTGAGGAGTTGGGCCTGGAGGTTCTCAATGCCTGTAGGGGGCGCCAGACCCTTGCCAGCCAACTGCGTGCCCATGTCGGCAGCAGCGGGATGCTGGATGAATCTGCTGCTAGAGCGCAGACTAGCCCACACACCTTTCAGAGAGAGGGGATACAACAGATGTGTGTGAACAGGTTAGGCAGGATTACAAAAATTGCTTTGTAAAAACAAACCATCGTAACTAATATCAAGGACGGACAAACTCAGCTGTGCTAAAATGTGCTTAGAGTACTATACACTTATTAGTAGCTTAAAATCATAATCAAATTAGCCACATTAAAAAAAACATGTAAGGGGTAGGGAGTGTGAAGAACTTTAAATGATGGCTGTTGAACCAAAGACTTAAACTACTTCAGTCTGTGTGCATTGAATTTATTTAATACATTCACAATTGTATGTAACAAGTTTCACAATTTGAGTTGAATTACTGAAATAAATGAACTTTTCCACGACATTCTAATTTATTGAGATGCACCTGTATACTGTATATATATATATATATTCCATTTGAATATATTTTAAAATGAAATTTATTTCTATGATCAAAGCTGAATTTTCAGCATCATTAATCCAGCCGTCACATGATCCTTCAGAAATAATTCTAATATGATTTTGGTGCTCAATTATTAATAATAGTTAATAATGGTTCTTACTATTATCAATGATGAATATAGTTTTTGCTGCTTCATATTTTTGTGGAAACTGTGATACATTAATCCCTTGTTGAATGTAAGTATTAATTTCCATACATATTATATTGCTTTCTCCAAACCTTTCAGTGGAAGCGTATCATGGTTTCCACAAAAATATTAAGCAGCAAAACTAGGGATGTAATGATTCACTCAACTCGCGATTCGATTCGATTCACGATTTTTTTTTAACAAAATGAGATTTTTCCGCTGTAAACAAAGCAGCGCTGCACTTATGAACTTTAATATTCAGGACTCCAGACTGCGACCATTTTTTCTGCCTGTGCGACTAAATTTTGTGTGCCTTCAGCCTAAAGTTTACTTCAGGAAACCAGAAAAGTCAGTGGTAACCTCATTGTAGTATGACTTTCAGACACTACAGAGGCATGGACAGAGGTCAAAGAGAGGCTGAGAACATGGATTAAGTCAAGTATGGATTAGGTTAGTGAGAATAAGTAAAACAGAAACTATACCTTGATTGTGAATTCTTCCCTTAGCTGGAGCTTTTTGGTTTGAGTGAGTGAATAGTTTATCTCTGTACCCAAGTACTGGTAGATTAAAGGTGCAGGAGTTGGTGGTGGCACAGAGAACCAGGAAATAAAAACAGAAAACAAAATTCACACACATGCAACAATCACCCCCTCTGAAGACAGACAGGACAGTCATTAGCAGCTCAGCTTACTGAGACAGACGAGAGAGAAATGCTGCAGGCCTGTATAACATTAGGATTTTAAGTTTAGAGGTCGACTGATTTATCACTTTTGCCAAATAATCAGTATCAATAATGGCTTTTGAAACTCTTTGATATTAGGAAAAAATGTCGGTTTCAATATTGATTTCATTTATATAATTATTTAGATTTCAATAAATAGTAATAATTATTTAAATAAATAAATAATTTATGTATTGAGTTCTGCTAACTCTGACTGAAAAGTGAAATTTTTTTGTTTTAATATAATACCAGATTACTGGACGTTTATGGTGAGCAAATGCTGACTGCAGATATTATTGGCCACAATAATTATGTACAGTATCATCTTTTTAATAGATATTATTGTGATTTTTGGTTGCACAATAGACTGCACACAGGATTTCATATACTGTATACTGAACTCCTGTAGCTTTGATGACTTGCATGCTTTTAAAAGCTATCTGCGATTAATTAGGAAGGCATCACACAATTAATCCCCCCCCCCCCATATAGGTTATCATACTGGCAAAATCCAATATTGGTCGACCTCTATTTGGTTACCTGAATTTTTTTTTAGACGTGACGTGAAGTATGCAAAGATGGGGCATCAATGAAGAACAAACAAAAGGTTTACATTAGGGCTGCACGATAAATCGCATGCGATATTTAATGCGCATCTTATCAGTAAAGCCGGTTCTGTAATCAGCGGTAAATCTCCATCACCTCTGTGTAGTTAATGCTGCTCAATGTGAAAGCCCGCAGGTGATGGAGATTTACCGCTGATTACAGAACCGGCTTTCTGACAAGATGCGCATTAAATATCGCATGCGATTTATCGTGCAGCCCTAGTTTACATGAATGACAGGAACATTACGTCAATGAGATGAGTATATAAATAAGAGGAGATCAAAGAATACAGAAAAATATAAGAAGTATACATGGAAAACTAGATTTGTATGTTTTGTGATGAAAATGTGAGTGGTGCTTGACTTAAACAATGGCAAGGTGTTGTGGGTGGTGGCCAGGGCATCACTATGTGGTTCACATGGTTTTCTTGGTGGTTATTTACAGGTCCAAGTCAATAGATCTCACTGACAAGTCTCTAAACTGAAGCAGCAAGATTGAGATATGATTTATGTAGCACAAGATACATACAAGGTGTGGAATGATTCAAACGAGTTAAAGGGGTCATATGATGTTGCTAAAAAGAACATTATTTGGTGTAATGAAATGTGTTTATGCGTTTTAAGGTTCAAACAACACATTATTTTACTGTACATTATTGTTTCTCCTCTATGCCCCGCCTTTCTGAAACACGTTTTTTTTACAAAGCTCATCGGTCTGAAAAGCGAGGTGTGCTGTGATTGTCCAGCTATCCAGTGCGTTGTGATTGGCCCGAATACCGCATGTGACGGAAATGTTACGCCCCTTACCATACTGTGATGCCGTGTCCCGGCCAAAGCGACGAGACAAAAACATTAAAACCCAATATAAACGAGGCATTTGTTGCATCCAGTGGGGACATAATTACAGATTATAATGACTTATACTGTCTTTTTACGCGTTGTGTTGCATCGCGCTGCGTAAACATAAAACC